AACATTGCTTTACAAACCTTACGACTTAGATATTTTGAATATGAAAGCATTTTAATGTTTACTGATAATCTGCCAAATTTTGTTAACATTCGCTTACTAATTTAAAAGTTATAGCATGAAAACTATAACAAGTGCAAAATGGTTATGAGGTTGTCACATTGACCGACCCTGTATTGAAAGAGTTAACAAACAAAAACTACACTGTTCATGAAACTTTCAAATACACAAAAAATAAAATCACTTACCAACAGGTTGCTGTGGCCTTCTTTTCCAAAAATTGTGTAATTTTCACTTTCATCAGAAACTATTTCCTGTGTATCAAAAAACCAACGAATGGTTGCAACTGGAAATGCTTCAGCGACACAACTTAAGTTGACAGGGTTGTCGTTCCAAGTTTTCATAAACTCTGATTTAGGTGTATGCATTTGTGGTTTAACTGTTTATACAATGCAAGAAGAACAAAATTTACAAATCAGACAAAAATAGAAAAATTTTTAAACAAAGATCAGAAGTTATTACAAAAAAGTAACAAGTTACCTAACAAAAACTTAAGTGTCTATATATAAAATTAAATGTAAATTCATGAGAAAAAAGAAATCTCAGCCACAACACAAAGGCACAAATCATAAGGTGGGTCATTATGTAATGTGTCCTGGTTTTTAAGAGGTACTAGTGGAAGTAAGACTCAAACTGCATTGGGGGATACATCATCTATCTAGTTTAACGTCAACTTCACCAGCCTCACCTTATCAAGAAAAAGTGAAAACAACAACAACAAATAAATAAATAAAAAATTAAGCAGATATAAGACCTGCTACTGAGTGGATCTCTTTAAAACCATTGAAGATCCAGATAGTAGCATGGAAGGGTTGAGGATGGTAGCTATACTTATAATATTGGTTGGGCTTAGTATACTAATACTTTAACATCTTGGTATTTATGTCCAAACATAATACTAGACTAGAATGCTAACTTCACGGACAGTTTTTCTGTCTCCCCCATTGATGTAATGTTTTCTGTTATTTCTTGTAGCTTTTTTTTTTTTAATTATTATTTTATTAAATAACTATATATATATATATATATATATATATATATAT